TGAATTGTGAGCCGCCCTGAGTCCCCTTCGGGGAAAAGGGCGGCATATAAATGTAATAAATCCAATCCAATCCAATAGTCCCTAAGTGATAAAACAGTGCACAGCAAACAAACAAACAAACAAACAAAAAAATCTCTTCTACCTGTGAACTTGAACTTTCAGCTTTTTTCTCTCTTTTCCTGCAGCCGTGGCCGTGATTGCTCTGGAAAAATCCCCAAAGGGAACAAGAAAGTAAACAAGCAAGTATGTCTCCCTAAGTGGAAATTCACTCTATTGTAAATTTCATTGTAAAGAGTTTTCCTCTTTTGCTGATTGATCCATCCTGAGTTCTCTCCATCTCAGCCACTATGCAGCAGGCCCTTAAAGAAGGAATGACTTTTGAAAATGTACAAATGCAGCCGACCTTTGGCGAGTCCATAGGACGAGTCTTATCAGAACGCTGATGTTGTTAAGGCGTAACAAATAATGCAGCCAAAATAATGCAAGATTGCAAATCCCTTGAAATATATATGCAGTATATATTTTGTAAACTGCCTGAAGCTATTCAGAAATGGACGGCATACAGATGTGCAATGTAAAAAAAAAAATCGTAATGACATTTGGAGATTTCAGCTCTTCCAGCTGTTTCATGGCAGGCTTTGAGTCTTCTGCTTCCTGATCTTTTCCTAAAGCCTTTCTTTTGTGTTCGACAGAGCTTGGCCGACGGAACTGCAAAGACGTCCGAGTTCGGCAGCAACGGCGGCGGCAGCTGCAGCCGACCCCAGTCCCAGTTTAATGGGGATGGAGGCCCCCCCTCCAGAGCCAACGAAGATCCCACTGTTGGAACATGCCCTTCAGCCACATCACCTTGTGCCTTAGCAAGAGACACTGACTCATGCAATAACAAAAGCCCCTATTTTGGGACGCTGGGTGGGGACTCTGAACGATGCCCGGAGAACAAGCTTCCCTTCCCGGTTCTGCAGAAAGAGGAGTGAATAGATGCCGCTGTGGGTCCAATTGGCTGGCAAATGGGATGGGTGGGTGGGATGACAAGGTTTTGACCTGCCAAGGATAGGATGGGGAAATTCAGCCCTTCCAACACATTGGCTAGAATGTAAATGCAATCAAGTGCTGGAATAGAATTATTAGCTAGGCAGGGACAGGGACAGGGAGATTGCTGTCTTGATAGCTCACATTACAACATTTGGCTGATTAATCGAATTGCTCCACTACAGCAGATATTGTGTAGTATTGTGTAATGTTGTGAGGTCAAGCAGCCTGCTGGGACTTTTGCCCCTGTTTTGGAGGATAACATCAGCTTTTTTGCATTCCGCCCCTCAATTTTGCCACTGTGCCAATCGGATCCATAAAGGCGGCAATTTTTTAAGTTTATTTGAATTTATTTTTGTTTTTTAATTTTATAGGGGGGAAGACTTTTTAGGGGGCAAGAATTATGAATTCTGGATTTTGGGAAGGGGGATATTTTTAAAGGAAGAAAAAGCCAGGAAGGTTTTACTTTAAAATGGGGCAGATTTTTCCTGCCTGCCTTGTTTAATTTCTTGCCAACTCCCCCACCATCAGGCCAAATAGCAGTATTGCTTTGAGGGATGGTGATGTTGGTATGAATTAAGGGGTGTGTATGAGAGACAATGATTTTTAAGAGAGAGAGAGTAGTACCACCACTGCAAATTATGCACAAGATGCATATAGCGGCTGGCGTGTGCTTTTTATTATATATGAAAGAGAGAGAGAGAGAGATTATATTTATATATAACATGAATAGAGCTATATATAAATATGAATGCTACAAACCCGGAAGGGGTAAAAATGTTCCCGGGAGACAACTTGCGTTCCAAAACGCTACGTGTTTAATGAATTCAAGGTCTGCTTCGCCAGTTGCCAGCAATTGGGTCCTATCCTCAGGTTGCGGCAGTAGAATGAGGCAGGCCTCCTGATACCAGACAGAACACTTCTTATCCTTAAAACAGACAAGCACTTACTGTTACAATTCCAGGACTGTGAGCAAATGGCTGAAGATAGCTGGGGCTGTAAAGATGTGGGGTGGATAGCCATCCAAATGGGGAAGTCGTGGGGTGAGGCTGCCAATGATATCCATCCTACCCAGAAACGGAGTGGGTGCGAGGGATTCTAGCTCTTGTTGTCATTAAAAAGGTGACATTGGGGGCGTTGGGGTTGGGGTTATTGCAGTTGCTCAGCTGGTGATTCTTTATTCTTCTCTTCCAAGGGAATCCTACAAGTTCAGTACACGATCTAGAATCTAGGATGAATCTAGGATGAATCGGGCCTTTTAGAAATCACCCTGCCCACCCCCTCAGGCTTCGCACAATCTGCTATCAATTCTTATGCTGATGATAATGGGAAAATTTTTTCCAAAGACTTGCTGAAAACAGTTGGTCGAGGTTTTCATTAGTGTAGCTAAACTCCATTATATACACACTTTTCTCTCCCATTTCCCTATCCTTTTGCGTTGTCTAATTTGAATTACACCTATCCTTGCAGATGATCTTGTAGAATCTGAAAGCCTTGAATATTGGAAACTTGGTAAATCCATTCGAAATGTTGCGTACTGAAGCAGATTTCAAATGCAGAATGTTTATAAAGAGCAGGCAGTTCAAAGTAATTTGGGGTCAGAAATAGAACAGGCTGAACATTCTGTTGGAAAGAATTTTTAAACCAGTTTTCCAGCTGCAAACATACATGCACTTCTGCAGTGCATATTTCCTTCTAGTTTCTTACAACTTCTACGGCACTTGAGTCAGATGACTTGAGTAATCTAAAATGTGTTTTGATTTTTAATTTCTCTTCTGCTATCAGTATCCATAGGCTGAATGTTTCCCTTTCTGTTCCTCCAGCAGAAGGGCACATGATTAAACCGCTGCTTGGAACAATGGCTGGTTCCACTTCAAACCAAAATCAGAAAAGTATTCTTAATAGTACAGAGTAATTCTATGAAATTAATTGCCACAAGATAAATGTTGGTAGCCACGACATCCTTTAGTGAGTGATTCAATGTATTATTGGGCAACAAGTCATGATAACTAAATTGAATTTATATGTTCATAAGAAATATTTTCTTAAATTTCAATTACTGCAGAATTGTGTTAAAAAGTGAGGAAGGGTATCATCCAAATTTTTAACAAATTTATTTGCCTTGTTTTCTGCAAATGTATAAAAGGGTAGTTAAAATGGGTTTAAAACCTGAAACAGAGCAGGGTATCTTATTTCTACTGCCAGCTCCATTCCCTTGGGTGAGTTATCCACCTACCAGAACTCAAAAGTAGGAAGCCCTGATCTTCCTCCTCCCATTTGAGCTGCCAGATCACTCTCATCAAAAGATTTAAACTCTTTGCTTCAGACAATTTTTGGAATTGATCTATAACCAGTTGGCTATTTTTGCTCTGCAGCTGTTGACTCAAACTCATTGAGATGGGGAATTTCTTATATTGCTCTAAGAGCAGGACCTTTGGAAATGATCCATGGTTGCCAGAAGGGAGGGAGCACCCGAAAAAGATTATCCCTTAAAGGCAAGAACTTGACAACAGCCAAAGGAAAAAGTTGCTTTTACCTTTGGGGAAATAGCTAGAGCAGTCTAAAGGGTGGGAGAGCATTTTTGTTTGAAAACTATCATAGTTGTAGCTGGGGGAGTATGGGAAGTAGACTCTATTTTAGAAAACAAAGAGCTGCTATTTAAAGTAGTTTGTGATACAGAGTTTTGAGTATTAAGAACTTGATTTTTAAAAAGTATTTCTGGTAGGTAAATTTTGGGGAAAAAAAACAGATTTTTTAAATAGTCGAAGCAGCACACTTTTCAGCTGCAAAAACTAGTAATTCTGATTGGGTTGGCGTTCTAAACATGGAAAAGAGAAAGTTTTTGTTCTGCTGGATAAATTGTGAATAACTGGCAAATTGATGTCTTTCGTATTGTGAAGTACTGGCTCGACGGTTAACAAAGAGAATAATCTTGTTTAAAGATAGCACTACTACTAAGAATCATACATTTGGAGAGCATCTTATCAGCTTTCCGTCCCCAAAACAAAAATAAAATCTTTTCCTTTTTTTAAAAAAAAAATATTTATTTGCAGAATTAATGGAACTAGTAATCAAGTCTTTTAAAATCTTGATTGTTTTGTTTCTAACCTTTGCTGATTAAAGCTAGTTGTCCAATGCAAAAATTGCCTTGAAGAGTCAATCCAACTTTCATTCAGGAATGACTCACATTCCATCAGTGGATTCCATTGAGTACTAATCATCTAGATTGTCTGGATAATTTTTTTTATATTTGGGAGATTTATCTTTTTAATCAGTTATCCCTTCTTTTCCTGTTCCCTTGGTTCTTTCATATTACATCCTGTTGCAGTCCCTAAATAACATCTTAAATGTTCAACTTTCTTTTGCAAGAAATCCCCAAATAAAACCCTGTTGTCCAGTAAGCAAAATGAATAAATAAATAAATCCCAATGTACCATTTAGAATACAGTTCTTTTAGGCTTAGTATCTAGGTAGCATCTTATATCTAGAGTTATAATGGCAGAATATTAATCCCAATCCCGCATCGGGCATTGGATGGCATTTGGAAGGGAGATGTACATCTCTACTTCTTGCATGGAAGAGCCAACATAAATTAATAATTATATTTGCAGCTATTATCTTTCGCTAAATGTGAAATCCAGGTATGAATTTTTCTACAATGACCTTAAGATTCATGCTTTTGTTTCTTTGTTATGATAGCAGAACAAACAGAACTTTAAATCACACATCAAAGAAGATTGGGGGAAATATGCTTTTTCTGGTGATATCCTAGCTACCCCCCGTCTCAGTTGAAACAACTAATTTGAAGAGACTGTGACTCTACATTGTGAAATGTACTCTAATCTGGGCCTAACAAGGAAGTGCCCTTCTATTCCCAAGATGAAGGATGGGAAAGATAAAGACTTTCATTTAACCATCACATTATTTCCTGATGCTGGTTGTTTAACTCTTCAATTTGGAATGAACAGCTTGACATCTTCCTTTGTGTCAATTTTGGTTTGACAGTATTCATGGAGGCAAGATTCTATCCTAAGAGTAGCAGAAATGTCTGTACAGCCAAATCTTTTGACAGTTCTGACGTCTAATCCCAGAGCTACAGATCTGCTTGCCTATGTTAGTCAATTATGTAGGTTTGTTAGTGTACAGATAATTTGATACAGTATCTCGCAGTTTAGGGGTAGATAAGGCTGCCTCAGTTTTCTGTCATCTTAATTTTCTAACTCCAATGCTTCAGAAGAGGAATGGGATCAGAGTTTGATCAACTATATTGCTAAGATAAAAAAAACCCAAAATGTTCTGGTCCAATCCCCATTTCTGAAACTCTATAGAATTCATGTGGTTTTATGGTCTGTTTGGGTTGCAGAAATTAATAAGTCTCAGTTGAAAACTAGTTCATTTTGCAAGTTATAGAAAAATATCAAAGAGTTCAGTACTGTGCTTCTATGGGAGTGTGGAATGTGGGATTGAATATAAAAGTAATTTTGATTTTTTTTAAAAAAAAATCCTAATTGTTCATGTTAGCAAAGATATTGTATAGAAATGTAGGTGCCTGGATGAAATCTCAGATCTTGAAAATGATGCCCAAATTTAATTTGGTAGATTTTTTTTTTTAACATTTTAGAAAATGGTTGTGGAGATATGCATTTGATCATTTTATAACCCATGACAAAATTCAATGTTTGAAGATTAAATTTTACTTAGTTTTGATCTGGAGCAAGCTAGTAGAAAATGAGGTTTGAAATAATGTTATTAAATTTCCCTTGATAAACATCCTGAATACTTTTAAAACATGTAGATGATTGAGGCCTGATTTTATTTTGAGTTGCTTACTGTCTGCTGATCCGAAACAATAGAAGGTATCATGCAGCTTTAAAATATTCAATAAAAATGCAAAGTGCTTCCCTGGGGGCTGTAAGAGGGATAATGAAAACATGCAATTCAAAGTCCAGTGTTGTATCAGAGCCAAAGAGATGGATAAAATTACTGATTTTGTTTCTCCTTTCTGGATCCAAAGAATCACTCTTCTTCATTGATATATTTAGATTTCTGAATGTATTTTTGGTCAAGGCATCTTTTACTTGCATTAAGTTAACGCTTTCACTTACGTGACCATTTCTTAAAAAGCATCTCTGCTTTGATGCCCATTGCTCCACCATATGAGAGCCAGATGACATGACCTTCTTAAGTCCACAGTGGAAAGCAATAATTTGACGAATGCTTTTTAAGCAAGTGGATTTGCATATGTTGTTGCAAAAATGTACTGTTTTAATTACTGCAGTTTCCCAAATCAGGTCAGACTGATACGGTTCATGCCTGCAGAGCTAAAATAGGAATATTATGTTACAATGAAGTCATTCCAACTGGAGAAAGATTTTGTAATTGAGCCTTTCTTTGAGAGAATTAAAGAAGTTTAGAAGGGCTCCCCCCCACACCCTAAGTTTTAGGATAGAACTGATTAATATCATTTGAGGTTCTATTTTTGCAGAATGAGTCTTTCTCCTAGGGACCCTCTTCTCTTTTGATCAGAATAGCCTGCCCCAGTCCACTGGCTAGGGAATTGGGAGATCTGAAGTCTAACACATGTCTGGGGAGGAAACCAGATTGAAAAAGGTTGGATTAGAATTACAGCAGGAGCATAGTGGTAGATTGGGTTGTGCTTTGAAAAACAACAGGTAAGATTTTCATATTGTTATTGTCTTTATTTGGGGGCAAAGGAGTGCAAATTCCCTCTTTCCCTAAACTAGTAGATGTACTTACGGTAGTTACTAAAATTTTTGAGGGATCAGAAATCAAATGTTAATACAGGTTACACTGTGCCTTAAATAGTAATATTAAAATTAATTTGAATTGAAACCTTGAAATGACAAACTTTCAAACCAGTGTTTTTAAATAACAGTTTCTAACATTGAGATCTTCTTGTGAAATCAGAAATCTAAAGTATTGCTTTGGAACCAAGGGTTCAGATTTCAAAGATCCTAAATATGTAGCCCTCAAACCCTTGTATCCAAATTTAAAAATCTGGAAGAATGTTTCATTTCAAATATGTCACTACAGGTGGGTGTTTACCACTGCTGATCATTTGGTAAAAATAGGTATTGTAAGCTTAGCCTGTTTGTGACCCTAGAGAAGTACGGGAGTAAAAATCTGAATATACAAAGCATCTATTTTTCCTATCCTTGCACTTCTAGAAAGCTGGAAACTTAGTGCAAGATAATCTGTGAAACTTAGAAGTTTTAAAATAGTCATGATAGATAATATGGAAGTTTTATGAAAAGAAAAGGAATATTTTTTTGTATCTGAAAAAAACTTATAGATAGCTGGAAACTAAATGGTTGCAATTAATTGCAAATCTCCAGTTCATTGAGGTTGATTTCTAGGGAAATGTTGTAACTAACTGACCCAAAGGTTTTCTCAAGTATTTGTGAATCTAGGCCATTCTTTTTTTATTTATTTCTGTAACCCTTTTGTCTGGTATCCCCCATTTCAGTGCCCTTCATTTAAGATGGACTTCAACTCCCATAATCCTTAAAGTAGAGATTATGGAAATTGAACTTCAGAGTTCCTTGCCATGGGATCCTGATCTAGATTCCCTCTAGAACTGGATCTTTGTGTGGTATAGATTGTCAAGTATTTATCCCAGTGAATTAAGGCCCATTAACTGCACCTATGTTTTCATGTTTATTGTCATTAATTGCTGAGTTAGCATATTGTGATGTTGAAAATTCATGGAAGTAATCTGATTCTTCCCTACCCATCATCCAGTGAATCTTAAATTACTAATGTGACAAAGTGTTTTTCTGAGTTCAGACTGCATCCTTTAAAATATAGGAAGACATCTTTTAGGGTAGAAATATAAAATTAATCTTTTTAAGCTTGCTGTATTTGGTTGCAGTTCTGAATTTCTAAAGCATATTTCCTGGAGTCCAACAACCTTTGTAAGGATTTGACCCATCAAATCATAGACATGGGGTTTTAGCATGCTTCCTTCATACTTTTGTCACCAGGGAGGGAGGGAAAGTTTAAAACCAACCTGTTGACCAAGATTGCTTGCCTTTCTCTTAGGAGTCATTGATCCCATTCTGAGGCAGTACTGAAAATTGTGACTGTGGCTAGCAATTCCTAAGCTTTTGCTACCAGTTAACTTGGCTGGAACTCTTAAGAAAATGGAATATTCCAAATATACTTTCAGTATAATATATACTTTGAAAAGACTAGGGAGCCTTTTCAGGGAGGGACAGCTTTTAACTTTTTCTGGTGTGGTTTCGAATTCCACCCTTTCTTGGATTCAGAAAAAAATAAGTGAACCCTTAGATCCCTGGGGGAGTGACAGACGAACATTACAACAGGGACATGATTCTTGTGGAGGGGAATGGGGGTGTCCCGATCCACAAATTATACATAGATACACTTGAGCCTGTGAAGAGGACACAGTGCCACTAACTAGCCATTTGGGCCAGAGAACCACCATTCCCCCTCCCCCCCATCACTCAACTTCAAATGTAACTTAGTGTAAACCTTAACTGTAGCTACTTGGATGAAAAGCCCCATTGTACTATGGTCTCTTCTTCTAAGTAAGCATGGTTAAGATTAGGCGACACAAATCCTACACAAACTACAATGTGTTCTTTTTTATTTTTAATGTAGTTAGCAGAATTTTACTACCAAGGTTGAATCATTATAGTAGCTAACTTACAACATGTACTTTGCTAAATATGCATGTACTTCTATTTTTAATTTTTTATTCTTCCCATTCTCTCCCCTCCCAAAAACCTCTTCTGCTTTTTGGTTTTACCTGTGCTGATTTCTGTTTTAAAGTCCACCTTTAATGTTTAAAGGAAACCTAATGAACACACCTGTTACGAATCTTACCATTTTAACTGCTATTTACTGGTCATTGCTTAAAGTCAGACGCTGTTGCTCATTTTCTAGTTATTTTTCAGATTAGATTTTTGTCCTCAATTTTGAAAAATCAACCCTTTCTTCCCACAAGCACCATATCTGTCTATAATATTACCCTTTCAGATGGGATGTACACCTTTTCTGATTATAACCATTGCTCTTGTATTTTGGTAGATGCTTTGTTGATAGTAACTAAATGCCTAGTGAGATTTTTAAAAGTAAAAACAAACTCAGTTGTTATTTTAAGCCAGTCTTTTCCCTCATACTTTCCTTGAGTAACCTTGACATTGCATTTTTACCAGATATATCTCTCTCCACAATTGCCTTTTCAAAATGTTTAGCCTAAGATTTTAGCTGAAAAAATACAAATCAATAATTTTGCTGAACAGAGTAAATCTGATTTTTCTTGTTAGTGATCCCGTCAATTGCAAGTTTCATGCTTTATTTATATGGGAAGTTAATGATCAATACATTATTCCCTTCTACCTTTTAAAAATATTTCTTTTTATGCTAATTAACACCTGTTCTTAGTGGATGGATAAATGTTATCTTTACTGTCCCCACCCCAATCTTGATAATCAAATTCCCATCTCCCCAATCCTTGCACCCCACAACATACTCCATAGGTTGTTGGGTTTTTTAATCAGTGTAAGTTTGGACAGGTTGCTCTAAATCAGGGGAAATTTGCAGTAGGTTTGTGATCAGAAAGCTTGGGTGTCTTTTGGGAATGTTTTTTGCTGGTGGAATCTTGGTGCGCTGTTCATCTGTTGATGATGGAGAAAGACTTACAGTGCTTAATAAAGTCTATTCTTTTAGTAAAGAAAAAGTGGTGTCTCTTTTGTTTTACACTCTGTTTATTGAGGTCGTCATTTCAAGTCACTACTAGGTATGAGCTGCAACTCTGTAGAAGCTGCTTGAGGGAAATACTCCAAATTGTAACATGCAAAGAAGAAATCCATTTCATAAAAAATTAATAATTAAGAGTGCCAGTAGCCAAATTTCAGTAGATGTTACTTCTCTCAATCATTGAACATCATAGTTTGTATTCTACGAACTACATAACATTAATTTATCAAATTTATATGGCTGTCCATATCACAGAATGTGACTCTCAGCAGTGTACAACATCCAATAAAACAATACATATAAAACAATCATTACTGAAAATAATTATACTTATTTAAAAATAATTGTAAAAAGATTAGAACTATAAAAGCAATACTTTCATTCAGAAGAAAAAGAAACAATAAAATAAAATAAATGAGGGGATGTTAATAGTAATGGAGCCACCTCACTAGTTCACCCAGGTCCCTAGGCCTGCTTACATAACCAGGTCTTGAGGGACCTTCAAAAATTCAGGAGATGAAACTGATGTCATTTCTGATGGAATATTACACATCATGGGTGCGATAGCAGAAAAGGTCCATTGCCTGGGGTCTTCTAAATATGTACCAAATATATATAAACTGAAATTAGGTTTTATTTGTAACTTCATAAAACAATGATCAGCATATGGATATGGTAAGTTCAAGCAAGGTGTTATATAACGGTATCCAAATGTGTACTATAGTGGGAGCCTACTTGGGGAAAAGTAGAAAAGAAGACATTTGTTTAAATTACGGAGGTATGAGTTCAATTGTTGCAACTTTTATGCTTAAGACTTTTTCCCCAACTGAAGGTGTATATAAGTGCTGTTATTTGATATCATGCATGGAATTACAGGTCCAGGAGAAGGAATGAGAGCTCAGAGTAACTTATGAGAAAAATATCTTAAATCTTAAGGAACAGTAGAACAAAAAAATGAAATTTAAAAACAGATCCGGGCCTGCAACATATAATTATGACACTGTAGATTTACCTGTGCCTACTATTCCTTGACATAACTGTGCAGTTCAAAAGACACTACCACAAATACCTAATTTATGTTCTAACTAGGCCTATACTTTTCTACTCTCTTGGAAAATGATTGTTATGGTTTAACTATTCTCATCCTTTAATTAGCTAGAGTATTGTGATGGTTACTGAATACAGATAGGATAAATGGTTTGGCTAGAAAAGAGGGATACTCTCTTGAAATCTAATCCTAAATAAAAAGTGGAGAAGTACATAATTCTAGGACCCAATTCTAACTCAGATGTAGGATTTGTGCAAGTGTTTCAATCCTCAGAAATCTAGCAAAAATACTGCAACCCCCTTGCTTTTATAGAAAATTGTGCATGTTATGCTTTGCAGTTTGATTGATTGTTCTATGTGTATGAGGAAGTGCGTGTTTAATTGAAAAGAACTGATTAGTGTTCTTTTTAGATTTGTTTTTGCCGTTCATCTCCCATCTAGTTCCTTAATCTTAATGAATGCAATATAAACTTGAATTCTTGTTGAACCAGCACATTCATTCTTTCAAAAGTCTGAAAATGACCTGAAGGTGTGACACAAACCATCCATCAGTGTGACTCAGGTAATTTCTATCCAGTACCATTGCCTAAATCTTGATGTTAAAAAGGGTTTAAATAATCCACTTTCTCTTGGGTACATTGAAACTGGAGCACCAATACTTTCTTTATAAACCTCTCTAAAAAGGGAAGCCTGGGAGAGAGAGAAAGCTGGGTAGCTATACCATGAATGGTACCTCATCTTGTGCTGATGGTTAACATCGCCCAGTGGCTTCATGTACACGTTCATTGTTCCTCAGTGGAAGACGTGGAGAAAGCATAGAACCCTGAGGCACTCTTCAAATCAGTGATCAAATGTGCCCCCCACAACACACGGACTGGAACTGGTCCTGAAGGAAGAGAACCACCATAATACAGTGCTGACCACACCCAACCCCTGGAGCCCATCCAGAAAACTATCATGCTTAAAGGTATTGAAAGTTGCTGAGAAGTCAAGAAAGAGCAAGGATGGGCAAACTACCCCTTCCCCCATCCAAATGTGCCCCCAATGCCATTTTGGTTGTGTAACCAGGCCTGAATCGGGACTGAAAGGGGTCCACATAAGTCTACTTCACTGAGGATCTTCCGAAGCTGCTGTGGGACCACCTTCCCTGAAAAACAAAGATTGGAGACTGGGCGGGTTTTTTTTACAAGCATTTTTACTTTCAAATTACACAAAATCCTAAATTTAATTCTTGGGCTGTCCATCAACCCCATTCTGCCTTTTACCCTAAATAAATGTAACACAAGAGTCAGTTTGGCTTAGGTACCTGGCTCCAAGGAAACTAGAGAGTAAGTTTGAGGCCAATGAAGAATGACCAGCCCTAGGAAGAATGGAAGGCCAATGCCAAACCACTTCTGAAAATGTTGCCAAGAAAACTTCTAGGAACAGTTTAGGCAGTCATGTTAACGCCCAGACCGACTAAAAAAACTGCAGATTATAAACGTCACACACACACATCCCAAGCTCCACCACATGTTCTATTTCAGCTTGTACAGGTAGTCCTCAACTTACGACCACAATGGAGCTGAACCTTTCTGCTGCTAAGTGAAACATTAAGTGAATTTACTCCATTTCACGACCTTTCTTGCCACAGTTAAGTGAATCATTGCAGTTATTAAGTCAGTGTCGTGGTTGTGAAGCAAATCTGGCTTCCCCCTTGACTTTTATCAGAAAGTCCCAAAAGGGGATCAGGTGACCCCCTCCAGGACACTGCAACCGTCATAACTCGAGTCAATCAGCACACTTTTGAATTTTGGTCACACGATCATGGGGAAGCTACAACGGTCGCAAGTGTGAAAAACGGTCGCGTTGCTTTTTTCACTGCCGTTGTAACTCTTAACGGTCACTAAATGAATTGTTGTAAGTCGAGGACTACCTGTACTGCAGAGGCAGTTTCATACATATAGCTGTCCCATGCAGCATAAACGCCACGAAATAAACTCGGCATTTCCCCACAAAAGGGCTGAAGTTTGAAAATATAGGGCGGACACGCAGACGGTTAGGCGGCTATTCTCATGGCAGGAAACGAGCTCCGGGTGGGACAATCGCCTCAACTCTCCGATACAACCCGGATCTCCCATCGCTTCCGGTGTTACCCGCCCTGTCAGAAATAACCCGGATATCCCGCCTTCTTTCGTGGAGGCGGAGGGCGCTCTATCCGCCGCTCCGTTTGTCTCTATGGTGGAACGCTCTCCTTCGACCCGCTTCCCTAAATGGCTGCCGCAATCGTCGTTGGACGTTGCTTGCCTGGGGAGGGGGGCCCAGCGCCACTCTCAAGATGGCTTCCCCGCGCGCCCGCGCTTTGCCTCTCCTAAGATGGCCGCCAGCCCCTCCTCTATTCCCTTCCTCTCCCTTCCCTTGTTTTGAATAAAACTTTATCGGGAAGGCTGGAAAAGAAAACCCCAGGACCTTAGGCCTCGCGGAGGCCTTTTCAGCGGCCGAAAAGCCTAGAGGAATTCCTTTGCTTCGGGAAGGCCTCGGATCCCCGTCCTGGCGTTGGCGCTTCCGCCGGGGAGAAGGTGCCGGGTATCTGGCGTTGCAGAGAAATCGGCAGAGTCTCGCGCCCGCCTTCGGCTCCGGGGCAAGAAGAAAGGAGGGAAAGGGGAAACCTTTTGATTTGAAAGAGGGAGAGCGCCCCCCCCCATCCCACCCCCCCAGACAAGATCGTGGGAGTAAAGGGGGAGCTCGGATGGGCATCGTGGGGAGAGGAAGGGAGGGAAACAATGATTTCGCTCTTTCGGGGAGAAGGGAGTACGGAGGTCGTCCTTGGAGAGCGAGGGAGCCTTAGCGCGCTTTGTTGGGCTTGAAGGAAGAGCCGAGGGTCTTTTCTTCACTCCACCCTCCCCCGGGGACCAAGAAAGAAGGGGAGCGGGCTCTGCCGGCCGCACGGAGGGGACTCCCCTCAATTTGGGAGGCCGGTCGTGGGGGGGGGGACCCCACTTTCCCCTTCCCTGGGAAGGGGAAAAAGGAGCCCGCAAACTTCTGAACGGAGTGGGGAGAGAAGGCGCTGCGAGCTTTTTGGGGGGAGCGGGGGGGGATGTTTCGGAGGATTTCGGGTTCTTAGGGAAATCCCCTAAAAAAACGTGAGGTCTGTCCGAAACGGCTTCGGAAAGGCGATCTGCGGAGGATTTAACCAGTTGTTTTTCCTTGCTGGTTTTGTTTTTTGTTTGTTTGTTTGTTTCGGGGCCAAAATTAACAAAAAAAAAAAAGCCGGCCGGACTTCAGGCTCACAACTGCATTTTGCACAAAAGTTGGTGCCTGGGACGTGGGTGCGTTTTGTGTTGTTTTTTGCGTGAATGCATTTGATTCCATCCTCACTTAACCCCAGCTGGGACAGGACTTTTTCCTTCAGGCCTGAGCATGAGAAGCCTCCCCGGCTTGCCTTAGGGACAGTTTGATAGCCTTTGGATTCCTGAGGGTCTTCCTTGGCTTGAACTTGGAGCAGCCCCCCTTCCCTCCATCCACCATGGCCTCTGTCCCGGTGTATTGTCTCTGTCGCCTGCCCTACGATGTCACCCGCTTCATGATCGAGTGTGATGCTTGCCAGGACTGGTTCCATGGCAGGTGAGCAATCAAACAAGAGTGGAAATGGCTGTTTGCTGGTCTTGGGCATGCTGAACTGCCCGAGCCTGTTTTCTCTTTGGGTACTAATGTAAATGGGACTGATTTCCAGGGCATGGGCAACCTATGGCAACACTTAAGTCTTAGCGGGCGGTTGCTTTCAAGGATTGTTTAGACTAAGATTTGTGTATTTGTGATTGAAATTCACCTGCAAAAAATTCAGTGAGGCATTGTTTAAAAAAAAAAACCCTTGTTCCTAGTAATTAATGGTACCCTATCTCTACATCTGTATGCTGAGGCATTCATTGTAGTCTGAGGCAACAAATT